AAAAAAAAACAAAAAAAAAAAAAATAAAAATAAAAAATTAAAGATAAAAACTTGTTTCTCAAATACAAAATAAATATACTAATTTGCCTGTGCGAAAAGGCTTTAAGGTAGTAATAACTCATGTTTAAAGCACTAGTGGGAATTTTGAAGCTTAGGCTTTGCAGCGTTTGTCGACTTCATAGATATTCATGCTGTAAACTGTAAACATTTCACGTTAGTTAACTTTAAACACGGAACGTCAATTCCTAGCTTTCCTGTTTCAGCTTTATGCGAGCTGATTAAAACCGCGGATATAGACACTATTGTTTCTGTAACTGTCATTGGAGCTCATTTATAAAATCAGTTATAGTTCTGAGACCCCTTTCCTGAAAACAAAGATTTCTAAGAAGCTTATACTAGACTCCCGCACATTCCTGCCTTTTTATCAACACACTGTCACTAACAGTAATCATCACAGACACACTCGATTAAGCTGAATGCCATTCGATTTCTGAGTGACACAGAAATAAGGAAAGCATGTCGCCGTCGACATTTTGTCAATTTAATTTCGTGATCATTTGCTTACTCAATTCCTTGCAATGCGCATTGTGTTCCGCCTGCGTCATGATGACCAGGGCCAACGCCACGCATATGACAAATGCTAATGCCGGTGAACGCATGTTTGGGTGTCGTCGCTACTCTTGTTCTTATTCTTGTTCTAGATTTTACTGACTTTTTTGTTTGTTTCTGTTTGATGTTCCAAAATGCCAGCTGTCAGCAATGAGTAATGATGCGGCCGCACGCTGCGTTTGCTGTTCGACGGCGACGGCCTAGGGTATGCAAACAACAACAATAGCGTGCAATTAAATAAACAATTGCGACCGACAAGGCTCTGCGCCGTGAATGCGACTAACGAGTGTGCGAGCTGATGACCGGTTGACAACAGCAACAACTACAACAGAATTTTGGCAAAAACACGCGCGAATAACTGAACGCCGGATTTTAAGTTTTCTACTTTCGAATTGGTGAATTGTTCCGTTAGCTTGCTTTAAAATTCGAAATATCTAGGTGATTATTATTATAATATCTTGGCATTAAGCGATTAGCTGCTACTGGTTAGTTAAAATGCTATGAACCGCAAATTCCGCCCGACAACTGAGGCGTCCAAGCGGCTGTGTCCCGCTTTTATACGAACGCTCCGCGTCTGGCGAATTTTTGCTGTTGTGTTGTTGTTCTCTTGGCATTTGCTTTTGTTGCACACATATGGTGCAAAGTGGACGTGTGTGGCACACATGCTGATACAAACGCTTTTCAGTACTCGCGCAAGTAATAGGGAAAAGTGGCATTTTTCGTCAAGTGAATTTTCGAAAATTTCAAAATTATGAAATTCACCGTATGTTTTTGAAGTGTGTTGTGTTGAGAGTGCCAATGGAAATTCGTTGTCGTATTGGAAATATGAGTGAGTGTTGTGAAGGGCCGAAAAATAGTTTGCATGGTTGCATTCGGAACCATTTGTGAGTTTTAAGGAATATTTTTGAAATTTTAATTATTTTATTACTTTTGCAATTCTACCCATATATAAGGTGCTCCCGGCCACTACAAGAAGTTTGGCTTTATATTTTGAGATTGTATAGGAGTCGCTTCATTAGATCCAAATGTTATTGGAAAACATGACCTTTATGGTCCCAAGAAACTTTTAATCCGAAAAGCGTCTTAATCGTATAGGAAGGTAGGTATGAGTGCTGCCATGAAAGGCTGAATTAACGATGGTTGCGCCATTTTGATGCACTATCGTTGCACCTTATAATGTAGTGACGAAACCGAATGTCGTTACGCTCAAAACTTTTGGTGATCTCAATGAAATGACTTATATCCCTTATGCTTTTGATTGATACCCATTCAAGGTTTGGTGCCAGATGGGTTACGAATATTTTGTTTCGAGTTTGTGAGAGAGCTGGGCATTCACAGTGAAAGCGGAAAACCATTTCACTATTCCCATCTAGTTAGCAGTTCCGGAAAATATTGTTATATGATAATTTTTAAGATATTTTTAACGTATGCCCTCCAAAAGCTTGTCCCATAATAGTAGCTGTAAGTCTGTGTTTACTATTTCTGCTCTAAATTAGATGCCATTCGGCTCTATTTCTATCAAATTTGGACCATGTATGCTTTTTTTTCCTGTAGCTTGTAACTAATTGAGTTCCTTCGGCTCTGAGCTATTTGTACAAAATGCACATAAGTCTCTATTATTATCACTAGCAGCGATTATGATTCATTGTGTATTGACATCTCTTCATATTCCTCTAAAAACTTTGCTATGGAAACTCGGCTGCCATTTCGTTGCCGAAAATATTGCTTTGAGCGGGAACCTGGGAGTTATGGGCAAGTGATGTAGACCTGTCTGTAAACTTAAAACCTTCCTACAGTTGTTGCCTGTGCTGCATTTAATCGGGATTGACAAGGCCGCCTGCTTGTCCGCGTATGGTTATGTTCCGCATTATATTAAAGTTATTTAATTGAACTCCAAAAGCCTTCTCTCTACCTAGTACTTCTGCTTGAAAGATGCTGCCTGAATTTGGAACACGGATATAAAGGGAGGTGTCAAAGACAATATCAATGGAGCTTATATCCACTTCATCAGTACAAATAGAAGTAGTATCTTCCTCCCTTACTAATCTCCCTTCATTCTTCTCTTCATTATTTCATGACTGTCTGGAGGTTACCCAAAATGCAATATTGCAGGCTAACCTTGGAAGGATGTAGTCTGACTTACATATGTATGTTGGTTCATGTAGCCGCTATATACACATTTTTTTCGGTTCTAATCCGGTTTTAATTCCTTTATTCTAATCGCAAAACTTGCTGCTGATTATTTAATTTTCGTTTACCTATATCCTTACAAGATGTGAATTTGGCCTCATGTTATCTATGACGTAACCAACGATAACATGTAAGAATCTGGAGCTCATTCGCAGAGGCAAATTTTATCAGAACTAGTCAAAATAAGTAGCATCTCTTAATTGGAAACTATTATTGAAGTTGTCAGGAGGTAGACGAAGAAAAAACTCTAAAACATCATCTAATGCAAAGCTTTGTATAGAAAAAGTATTGCAACATTCTTTCGAAAGTTTCTTAATTTTGCTAAGATAAAACCTTTTGTGCTGATATCCGTCAGACAGCCTTTCCACCTACCTACATCATCATGACTTGTATTTTTCTAATTCGGTTTCACGATTGTCACTCAAGTGCAAGCGCCGTGGGATGATTTCCATCGTATTACAAGGGAACTCTTATTAAAATTGAGTAAAAACAGTCTGTACGCTATCCAAATGACTTTGAAGTAATTTTGTGCCACGCCCTGTGGTAGTTTCGTTCCAAAAGACGTTTTCCTCTAACATAACTTGCTTCAAGCAACCTTTGACAGTGCTGAATGGCAGTATCCATATGAAGGTTTTTGACCGCAAAATTCAGATAAACTCTGAAGGCTTAGTCTTGAAGGCATCTTAATTTTTTTATTTAGCGATTTAGTACAATTCGGTAATGGTTATTCTGATTAAATCAGAGCCCAGTGAAGTTAATACCAAACCAGTTGTTAAACCAAAATCTTGAAAGTCTGAGTTGTAGTTATTTACAAGTAGTTCGAATCCATCTTCTGTGTGGGGAGTGCCAGAACAGAAATATGTGAATGCTTAGGGTTCTCCATTGGTCTGCCGATAATACATAGTATGAGCAGCTTCTTGAGAAGCAAAAGACTGTAGAAAATTTCAAATCAGTTTCTCAAAAGCTGAAGGACTATCTTGCGTATGTACAATCAGATGGACTCAGAGACGAACATGGCTACATCGACACAACTTGTCACGCTGCTCATTTAAACGTATACTTTATGGGGTTTTCGACATTTTCTTTTGGGCGTTATAAACTTCGTGCCAAACTTAATACCCGTGTTCTTTTTCAGGTTATAAAACCATTGATATGACCGCCGAAAAAATTAAGTTTTAAATACTTCACTTCAAGCAGCACCAAATCTGAAATTGTTTATTTTATCATTTCGTTGCAATTTGAGCTCAATATCTACATAATCTATCTCAATCTCTTAAACACAGCCACAAGGTCATTTATAAAGATAAAACTTGCTGTCGCCATGGACTGCTTAACCAATGCCATCGTTCCCGCAACATGCCCCAATAGCTGAGAGTTTAAATGCCGAAAGTCAGAAAGAAATTAATATAGAACCCAAACATTGTAATAAATTGATTTTTAAATGAAGATTGATTTTGTGGCACATAGTAGTAGGAAAAAGTATAATTAAATTAACAAAGTTGAAAACAAGCACCTAGAGAACGGAACAGACAAGTAGGCCGTGCCGACGCCGGGGGGTACTTGTTGTGGCCAAGTTGGCCATTTACATACCGACACAGCCAGCACAGACAATGAAAAGCCTGTGAATGGACGAGCTTGATTGGCGTCCACTGAAGCCTAAAGTCGATAAGGAACATACACAAATACACAGCAACAACAACAACAATGTGCACCCACTAGCAGCACAAGCACATCTGAAGACACAATATGTCTGCGGCTCGTGCAATGGGATGGATGATCTGAAGGCAAATTGTTGAAAAAATTGTTGACCAACTTTATTTCCAATTTAATCAAACTCAAATAAAACCAATTAAATTGTCTGGATGAACTTGAATGGGGATCTTCATTCTTTGGTGTTTTTTGTTATTGGTATTTTTCATGTGCTTTCTCATACACGGACTTAAGTTGTTGTGTGTGGCGCACGAAAGCTTTGTGCATGTGCAAGCGGAAACGCCTAGATGACGTCACAAATTTTCTGAACTAATTTCCTGGAATTTTAATTTGTACTAAAACTAATGACTTGAATTATCTATCGCAGGCATGACATCAGCGTATTTTCTTTGAAATATTTTATAAAAACAAATGTGAAGACGTATGTCTAACGATGCCGGTGTAGAGTAGACCAAGGTAAGTGTGAGTATCAGCATAGTGAAAATGAGCTTTCAGAGAATGCTATTTAAATTAGTGAAGGGGTAATATCTATAAATATATGAGGCTCATATAAAGTTTAAATATTTTAGCCAAAGTGTTGCAACAAGTGAAAAATACGAGGGAATACCGAAGGCCTGAATAATTCTGCCACAGGGTGTTTTAGTCAGTTTGGTGAGGTCAGTTCTCTTTATAGACATTTGAAGAGGGAATCGAACCTAAAATAGCATTGTCTTTTGACAAGATATCCGCGCTTGTGCTGTGTAACTATCCCACTCTGATGAAGTAAATACTTAGAGCAGCATTTTTGTGATGAGACAAAAAATTACTTATATCGAATTTATGGAAAATTAACCTCTATATGTGAAAAAGAAAAGGGCGGCATTATTTTTATATTTAGTTTAAGAGGTGTCGGTGAGTATTCAAAGTTTCAAAGTGAAATCTACAAATCCAAAAGAAAAAATTTGAAGAGAAAAGTTTCAGTTAATAAAAAGGTCCCACCATTTTCGCATTAACACTTTTTCTCATTAAATGAAAATTTGTGTGATATAATCTGGGTTTGGCTTATAAAAAAATTCATTCATGACATTTGCCGCAAACTTATTTAATACAAAAAATATCTGCTCTCCATAAAAAAAAAAAAAAAAAAAAAAAAAAAAAAAAAAAAAAAAAAAAAAAAAAAAAAAAAAAAAAAAAAAAAAAAAAAAAAAAAAAAAAAAAATTGTGGGTTTCTACTTGTTTCTACTTTCTGATTGTATAACCAAAATATGCATTACTATTGTGTGTCTTTTTTTAGAAAAATCAGGTCACGACATTAACCCTGGGTAAACCATAAAAACCATTAAGCACGATGGTGAAAGTATCGTATATGGTGTGGAGCGGTCAATTGTTCACAAAAATGGTGACATGGACCGGTATCAATATTTATACATACTTAAAAATTTAGTGGATCCATTTGTATATGAATACATGCCAGGACATTTATATACATAAGATGATGATCCGTAGCACACCGCAAAATTAATAAGGCATTGATTCGACAAGTGAAAATCTAAAATATTGAATGGAGTTGCGCAAAGAAAGTAGCTGAATCCATTAAAAAATTTATGGAGTGATGCCAAGCCAATAATAGCAA